AAGCTTGGAGGTGAAGCCTAATATTTACTATGCCCTGAATATGGCTATTTTTGGGTATGGTGTACATTACTCTGGCGCAAACAGGGAACTGTGAAGTACTTTCTAACTTACAATTTCATAAACTAGTTCAGACATGTTACCTAGTTTATGAATTTATCTTCAAAGAATACAGTAAGGAAACAATGTTATTGTGGAAAGTTTGAAACTTACCGAAAATTCTGTTGTCGCAACTTGTTTCTGTTAGACAGTTATGGAAAAGTAGACATTGACTAGGTGTTCTTATGGTCTTTTTATTATTTCTATTGCTTTAAGGCCATCCTTGTCTCAAACTCTTCCTTTGGCAGGATATTGTGCTTACCTTGATGCAGAGAATGCAATGGATCCTTTCCTCGCAGAATCAATGGGTATAAACACAGATGATCTTCTCATTGCAAAACCTGATTCTGCTGAAAATTTGCTGTGCGTGGTTGATACACTGACCAAAAGTGGATCTGTAGATGTAATTGTTGTTGATAGTGTAAGTAGTAATTTATCTCAGCAGGCTGTGGAGTTGTATCCCTGCTTTATCACATTACTAGAGAGATGGGTGTATGCTCTCTCTTTTGTGAACTTAAATCTTTTAGTGGAGGTGCCTTATGTCTGCAGAAAGTTTGAAGTCCTTGTGTCATACTCATATAAGTGTTAGATAGTTAATCTTAGTCCAAATAACATTGCTAATTAAGGTGATGTTTTATTTCAAAATCTTTATATCAGAGATCAAGGTAAAAAATTATAAAATATAATATGAGATGCCGAGAAGCCATGACTGTTAGCTATATGTTCTAATGGATGGTATGATTGGTATGGAACATCTACTTCATCCCTAAGTATCTGAATCTAGCAGTTATGGTCCCACGCTGCATATGTCTGTGTTGTTCCAAGCTGTTCCTGGGGTATCTATGTTGGTTTGTGACTCTGTGGCTTGCTTCTGTACCTCTCTTTCTCTCTCTCTCTTAAGTCTTTAAAAAAAAAAACCTTCCTCTTGTTTTTAATGCTCTATTATGTGGTAATTGCAGGTTGCTGCTCTAGTCCCTCAGATTGAACTTGATACTTCAGGTGTTGTCACCAAGCGAGATGTGCAATCCCAAATAATGACCCAAGCACTTCGAAAAATTCATTATTCATTATGCCGTTCTCAAACTCTTATAATCTTTCTTAATCAGGTAGAAACCTAGAGGAATGGTGGAACTGTCTCCCACCTTTGTTTCTGTGATAAACTTTGTGTTATAGTAGGGCATTTGGTGCTTAAAACCCAATTTGTTCCTCTATAAGCAGGTTAGATTTAAGCAGGTCATGTTTGAAGTCAAATCAGGTCAAGATCATAGACGAATGGAAGAGGTGACTTGTGGTGGAAATGCCTTGAAATTCTATGCTGCTATACGGCTGAGAATGATAAGAACTGGATTGCACAAGACTGGTGATAAGGTCTGAATATTATAGCCAAATACCATTTTTTTAATCTTCTCAATTCTCTCTCCAGTTAAAATTTAGCAAGTTGGATACTTTCTATTTCATCCTATCGGTGTCAATTTTACTGGATGTCATATCTGTGTCGCTAGTCATATGTTTCCTCCTATGCAATTGAGATCATTTTTAATGCCTTGCTTTTAGGCAACTGGTCTTGGGGTTTGCGTGGAAGTGGTGAAAAACAAGTTGGGACCTGCAAAGAAAAAGGCCGAACTGGAAATTCAGTTTGGTCAAGGTATTTGCCATAAATCTGAGGTCCTGGACTTAGCATGTGAATATGGGCTCATCCGCAAAGAAGGAAGCATCTATTTTATAGAAGGGATGGCTTTTGGTGATAAACAGGCAGCTCAAAAGTACTTGGCTGATAATGATGGCATTCTTAAGAAGTTAGTTACAGATTTAAGGACACAATTATTTGCATCAGAATCTGATAATGGTAGATGCGTGGCTGTGTGACTGTCATTCTTATGGATAAGTAAAATAGGAGTATGGTGATCGCTGAATTCTCATTTGTGATGAAGTGGCTTGCCACTGCATTAACTTTGAAGCAACTCATTGGGAGCTTTTGATCCTATTCATGATTCATCATCAGAATTCTGTATTGTAAATTCTAAACCAACAGGGCCTGATGAGACCTCTGGCGGGGTTGGAGCATACAAGATAATCCCGATGCAGGAAACATGCCTAGGTTTAGGCAAGATTCTTTGGTGAGGTAGTGGACAGGTGTAGCATTTTAGATCTATTTAGAGCATGTTTTTATTTGGGTTTAAAGATCTCCCATCCTGATTAACTTTAGTTGT